TCTAGTGGTTTATTGGAGATAAGAGTCTCACAGACTTTCCTGCCTGGGCTGGCTTTGAACCTCGATCCTCAGGTCTCAGCCTCCTGAGCAGGATTACAGGCATGAGCCACCTGCGCCTGGCTTGATTGCTTTAACTTTCTAATGGGAACAGAGATTTATTTGGTATCAAGCAGGGCCCAATATTTAAATCAGGATATTTAGATTTCCTGTTTGTTTTGAAAAACTGGAAGATTGTGGCAACATTGGGTTTAGTTTCTGGCACAAATACTGTCACTTGACTTTAGTAGTAGTTGCTTCATTTTTAGATGTGTTTAGCTTCTTTGCTCATTTTGCTGAAAGTCTGCATCCTTCTCTCATATGACAGAACACTACTTAAGTCTCTGAAGGGATTTGTGTCTATAGCTCCTGCTTCCATTTATTGTGATTGTAAAGTTTGTTACTATAGGACTGGGAAGGTGGCTCAGTGGTAGAGCGCTTGCCTTGCATGCATGAGGCCCTGGGTTCAATTCCTCAGCACTACATAAGCAAAAAGAAAAAAGCCGGAAGTGGTAGAGTGCTAGCCTTGAGCTGAAGAGCTGAGAGACAGCACCCAGGCCCAGAGTTCAGGCCCCATGACCAACAACAACAACAACAAAAAAATTGTTAGTATATCTCAATTATATACATGAATTTTGTTTTATTATTGTTTTGATTTTTAATGGCTCCAAATATTGAAGCATAGAAAAAGATATATGTGGGCTGGAGAGTAGCTCAGTAGTATAGTGCCTACTCAATAAACAGAAAAAGATGTTATTTTATGTCCATTTTACCTTATAAATACTTGCTTTGTCTTTTATATTACCCTGTCCTGTAGCTACCTACTTCACATTCCTAGAGGCAATACTGTTACCATTTTTTGTGTAGTAAATACATACTTTCCCTTTATGGGAAAGTACAAAAAGTACAAAAAGGGGCTGCATGCTATTGTATATTTCTTGCTTTTTGACTCCACCTGAATCATGAACTATCTTGCAGAAAGTTTCATTTTACCATACATAAAAATCTTCCTTGCTGGATGCCCGGTGGCTCACACCTGTAATCCTAGCTACTCAGGAGGCTGAGATCTGAGGATCATGGTTCAAAGCCAGCCCGGGCAGGAAAGTCTGTGAGACTCTTATCTCCACTAAACCACTAGAAAACCAGAAGTGGCACTGTGGCTCAAGCGGTAGAGTGCTCACTTTGAGCTGAAGAGCTGAGGGATAGTGCTCTGGGCCTGGGCCCATTACCGACCCCCCCCCCCCCAAAAAAAAAATCTTCCTTAAACTTTTTTTTCAAAGTGGATGTACTAGCAGAAAATGAAGTTCTAGTTTCTTTATATCTTCCTAATGCTTGTTTTTAATCTGTTTTGTTTGTTTCTTGTGGTGCTAAGGATTGAACCTTGGGTTTCATGCATTGTTTTATTTTCTTCATTTATTCTTTTTTTTTTAATTTTTTTATTGTAAAGATACTATACAGAGGGTTACAGTTACATGAGTGAGGTAATGAGTACACTTCCTCTTGAACATTGTTACCCCCTCTTGAACATTGTTACCCCCTCCATTGTTTTCCCTCTACCATCCCCTCCCTCCCTTCCTTCCCAGAGGTTCTTTTTCTTTTTTTTTTGATTGTGATTAAGTGATTACATAATTTCCGGAAATTCACAGTATTGTGGAATAATGATGCTCATTTAAAGTCACAAGTTCATTCTAACTTTCCTGGAGCAAATTGTCTATCACAGTCTGTAATATATGACGGTGCTCACATGTTATATACCATATATGTGATCAGCAGCATGGGGATATTTAGTGGTGGTTCAACCAGATGAGTGGGAGTTCTTTGTTTCTTAAGTCCTGTTAGTTTTGTCATATCACCTAACATTTTGGATTTAGCATCCACTTATCAGGGAGACCTGTTCATTTATTTATTTATTTTAAATTTTATTTTATTTTATTTGTGAACATACTGTACAGAGGGGTTACAATTGCATGGGCAGGATAATGCGTACATTTCTTACCAAGCATTGCATCCTCCTCCTTTGTTTACCCTTCACATCCCTTCCCAGCCTCCCCCCACCCCCCAATCCCAATCTCTTCATTTATTCTTAAGGGCCTCAAAGATTCTAACCATGCATTCTACCATTGAGCTGTACTTCTAGCCCTTGTCTGTAGTTTTAATTATAATCTATTGTTTGTGAAAGTGGTATTTCATTGTGGTTTTTGACTTGTTTTCTCCTGATGGCTACTGAGATTGAATATCTTTTCATCTGTTTATTGGGCATATATATATATATATATATATATATATACACACACACACAC